AAACCATGTAAAATTGAAAAAAAAATATTGTTTGAGATAAAAAATGAGAATGTGTGTGTGAGCTTGAGTTCGAATTTTAAAATGATATTGCTGGCAAACGTCAAACTGCCTCTAAATGATTTTACCTTATGTTTTTTATCAGGGACGTGAACCGGTTTTGAACCGAACCAGTTTTGAACCGGAAAACCGCTTTTTTTCTATTAATTAACTGAATCATTAACCGAACCGAAATTTTCCACAAATGTTTGATCCGAACTGAAAACCGAACCACTTTCCATAAAGGTTTAAAGGTTCGATTCAACTAAGTTTTAGTTTTTCTTAGTTAAACATGATAATACCTATCATGTTTTTTTACCATGTGACAATATCAAATGTAAAGGCAACCCATCTCATTTGACAGACACTTGACCCTTAACCTTGCGCGTTGTTGCACTGGACACTTCAACTTGCGCATTATTTTTTATACCCGAGCGCACTTGTGCACAAGGGTATTAAAACTTTGGTCACATAACGGTTGTTTGTAACAGGTAAAACGAATCGAGATAGATATAGAGAAATGTATACATAAGTGATCAGAATGAAAAGAGAAATCGATTAAGCGGTGACTGTCTGTCCGTCCGTCCGTCTGTCGGTCCGGCGGTCCGTCTGTGCACATGATAACTCGAATAAAAATTGAGATATCTTAACGAAACTTTATACGTGCACTTCTTTCGGGCGTAGGACGGATGGTATTGAAAATGGGCAAAATCGGACAATAACCACGCCTATCTCCCATATAACGGTAATTTGGAGAAATACGAAATCTTCGATAAATCAGTAAATATTAAAGCAAATTTATTCAAAATTGATGCTTTTGACAATCCTTTACCAAGAAATACGTTTATGATAAAATTTTGGAAAACGGGCGTGGCACCGCCCACTTATGATCACATATATGTATCTCGGTAACCGGTCTACCAATTTATACCAAACTCGGTATGGCTATTGTGCTTGCCAAATAAAAGCAAAACGTTGAAAATTATTGAAATCAGACTAAAATTTAGGCCGCTTTTCTTATAACGGTAAATTTCACAAATGCTTGAAACCTCAATATTTCGAAATTTAAGGACGCTAAATTACTCAAAATTGATACACCCCGGTATACCATGTTGCGGTGGCTTTCGGAAAGGTGAAAATCATATATTTAATACTTGCGCCGGGTATTTAATGTTCGGCTCCGCCCGAACTTAGACTTTATTACTTGTTTGTTTTTCGAACCGTTGAACCGAACCGAAACCCCGGTTCAAAAACCAAAAAAACCGCTTTGACGAACCAATCCAAAAGTGCAAAAACGGTTCGAACCGCTGAACCGAACCGACAAAATTTTTCATCCGGTTCACGTCCCTGGTTTTTATCATGGATAGAACGATTTACAGATGCGTTCGGTTACAAGTATCCCGTCATTTAAGCTCAAGAGGTACGAAGTGACTTATGCCACTTTCAAAATAAAGGGCTCATATGTACTTGCGAATGTACATACATACATACAAATTTACCGATATTGTTATGGAATTGTATACATACATGCACTATTGTCAATTAATTATCGACATCGATAGATTTTTTTTAATATGTGTCGATGTCATAAATGTTATTTTAATATACATACATAAAGATGTAAATAACATAAAACTTTAGCATGCCACAACTAAGAAAGCCGCTGCTCATAAGCTGGTAACAAAATATTGCCCCGTGAAATATGCAATACAGGAATTTCCACAAATCTTCATAGCTGAATTGCTGAATATTTTCACTGCATTACCAACGTACCTAGAATCGCGGTGACAAGGATCCGATCGTTGGATCATGAAATATATATATATATATATTTTTTTTTATATGAGAATTGAAGTTCCTTTTTTTGCTAAAAATTACATGTTTTTTCAACATTTCTGTTGATAAGTTTATCGCTATCGAATTATTATCGCTTATATTTCGTGAATCTTGAAATAAATTTTAGCTAATCCTATCAAATCATTCCTACCTGAAACAAATTTCCCACCAACTTTTTAATGACATCACGCAAAAATTTCAATTGCAACGGCGCAGAACCGCCAATCCTATCACCAGCGTTGCTCGCTGCACCTACTGCTTTGGCTGGTTTATAGTCCTTCAATACTTTAACTAAATTCAATTCACAACGTATTAATGCCTTATTAAATAGCCCCAACATCTTTTGACGTGTTGCTGGACTTTGACAATTCGCATTGTATTCCAAGTAGTTAAGCAAATTCTCACATTCCAACAACGTCAGCAATTCTGTCGTCTTATTTGTCTCCACCAAGAGCCGCAAAGCCATAATACGGGTATCATCGGAGTTGGAGAGTATACTGTGTACAAGGTTACTAGAGAACTTTTCCATAACTTCAGTAAAATCCTCGACTTTAATGCCCGCTTTGCGTACAGCCCAAAGTGCTGATAACTTTGTACTTATCGGAATATCTGTGTCGGTGTGTTGTATGATATGTTGCACAATTTTCGGTTCACATTTAACCGCCTTGACTATTAACGTTTCAATATCACTCAAACGTGCATCGTTGGACGTGGCAATCACAAGCATATATTCGATCCAGAGTTTTACCCACGTTTCAAAGTTAACTTCTTTGTGGCTGGCGTACATAAGTGCTGCAAAATCCATACATTTATTTTATTATAACAGATCTAAATATTTCTGCCAAACTTACTCTCAAACAAATTATTCACCATAAAATCGCGTCCGAGCTGCTCGGCAAATATGTTTGTAAAGACTTCAGGACAATTGCGTATTATGGCATCCGCTCCCAAAATTGCTGCAGTCTGCTGCAACACTATACATTTCATAGAAAGTGATAGGCGCTCAGAATTGCAAGCATCATAGATTTTCTGTATAAGAAAATCAAATTTGATTTTATATGCTGCTGCTACTGTATTGCGCAGCAAGTCGCGACAGAGGTGGCGTACACTATCCATATGATGCTCCAAAAACCCAAAAGTGTAAATCAAAAGCTTACGCAAAATCAATTTGGCATCATCTGTGGGCGGCGACTGAGCTTTCAACTCGAAACTTAGTATGATCTTTGAGATCTGATAAAGTGCACGCGTGGCGCAAAGTAGTATATTTGGTACCGTAGCATTGGCATTGGCGATTTCATCAATCTTGCTGCATATGTCACGTATGTCAGCGGATATGCGTTGAAAGTCATGCTGATCGAAAGTGTTTACGATGCCAACACATAGAGCAATCTCATTAGGATTCTTTGTTAATTTCACTTCTTGTATAAAAGTATCATAGGTTGCATTGAGTCTGGCATTGTGGGCCAATAGAATACCAGCATTTGTGCGCGGATCCATCGGTATTTCATCGTCCTGTACGACTTGCTTACATAATACACTCAACTGTTTTAGTGTGTCACTGTGGATATCCTTGAGTTTAGTGCCATATTCTTGTATGCAACTCAGGAGTAGACGAACGGCATTATGCACATAGAGATAATATTCATTGCGCACAGAAGGCGAGCTAAGTACGCTGAAATAGTTAAGAAGGTATAATAAATATACACACAAATGCTGTAAATACATACATATGTACATTTATACATATATGTACACAAGTACATATATTACAATCTTATACAAACCCCAACTCGGTGAGATACTTCTGCACGGCTGCGCAGAGAAAGGGAAATACTTGGGATGTACTCATTTGAATAGCCTTCAGACCGCATTCAAAATTCTCAAAGCAGCCAGTCATCGATGTGACCGTGAAATTCCACGCGCTACTCTCAGTCTCTGCTCTGGCCTCGTCTACCAATCGCTGTATTGTTTGCGACAAGGCGTTCACAATTGATGATTCATCTGTATCACCGGTGCCCAGGCGCGCAGCTGTAATCAAAAGCCTGCAGCAGGGGTAGGTAAAAGGCAAATGATTATTGATTTTTGTTTGCACGCTCCTGCATTGCTGAGATCAGCATTTTTAAATGCAATGCTTAATATGCACGTATGGTAGGTACGTCATGCAAACCTTGCACCTACTTACTTTAGAATCTGATTACGCACTGGATGCTTTAGTGGACAATGGAAGTACAAGTCCGCCAGAAATTGTAACGCCTGTGAGTCACGACTGAGATTTTTGAATATCTAAGAACAACAAAAACTAAAATTCTCAAATATCACGATGGAATTGTTTATATTAGTATCGCGCCATGCTCAGATATTTTGTTTACATTGGCCGGTACTACTCAACTTACATTTTTCACCGCCGCCACCTGCTCCGGTATGGATTTGGCATTCTTTAATTCCAGACAATAGCTAGCCTCGGCTGTTTTAAGCAATATTAATATATTTTCTTTCCTTTTATATACTGTGCTTAAATACTTACAATTTTCATAGTGCTTCGGCAACGTGACCAGCGCAGTACGCATATCCGCATTTTTCTTTACATTCTCGCCAGTTTTCACTGATGAAACACGCAAATTTAATGAATTCATTTTAGACAATCTATTTAAATAGCACTCAAAATTGGAGTTTCTGTGCTATTATTTTAAATTTATTTTTATTATTTAATTGAAGAGCAGCAAAATATTCCATCCGCCTACAAGGCGAATGAGCAACATAAACCGCCGAGCGGAAACGTCAGCTGTCCTAACAATGTTCTTTACCCTATATAATTACCCTCTTTTTGTTGATGGCATTAATTTTGCCAATTTTTCCCCCAAAACTGCAACACCAGCAAAAAAACGTCAGCTGTTCGTCGAAGAGTTACCAATAGTCATGGTAAAAACCCAAAAAACAAATTGGTATATATTTGTAAGGTTTGAATTGTTAAATTATAGTAATTAAAAGTTTCTGTAGCAGTTAATCATATCCAATCGGTGTTGGATTATATTCCCTACCAGCACAAAAACTTCGGAAGGTCGAGTCTTTTTTTTTTAATTTCCGCGTTTTCTTATCAGTCGTCACTTTAAAGAGTTGGCAACCCTAAACATTTAATTGAATACTGCACAACACGTGCACGCCTCATTTTTATTTGTGTTTTTATACATTTAAACAATTAGCCTTTCTAAATATAACATAATTTTCGGGAGCAGTTTTTATAAATTCACTCACCAATATGGGAAAGAAGACGAAAATTGGAAAAGCGCGGAAGGATAAATTCTACCAGCTCGCGAAAGAGACGGGTGAGTTCTCATAGCATGCACTCGCATAATTTTTTTGACATTTTTGCTGCCTCCCTCCAGGCTTCCGTTCGCGTGCTGCATTCAAGTTAATACAGCTCAATCGAAAATTTGGCTTCCTCCAGCAATCGCAAGTATGTATAGATTTGTGCGCTGCGCCTGGTGGTTGGATGCAGGTAGCCAAACAAAATATGCCTGTTTCGAGCATTGTGGTTGGTGTGGACTTGTTCCCCATACGTCCAATAGCTGGTTGCATTAGTCTTGTTGAAGATATAACCACGGAAAAATGCAAGCAATCGTTAACCAAAGAATTGCAATCGTGGAAAGTCGATGTTGTGCTGCACGACGGTGCTCCAAATGTGGGTCGCAATTGGTTGTTTGATGCATATCAACAGATTTGCTTGACACTGAACGCTTTAAAACTCAGTACAAATTTTTTACGAAATGGCGGCTGGTTCGTTACAAAGGTGTTCCGTTCAAAAGATTACAATGCTTTGTTGTGGGTACTAAAACAACTGTTCAAAAAAGTACATGCCACTAAACCAAGCGCTTCACGTAAGGAATCTGCCGAGATATTCGTTGTGTGTCAAGGCTTTTTGGCGCCTACTCGCATCGACCCACGTCTGTTGGACCCCAAGTATGTGTTTGAAGAGCTGGATTTAGAAGGCAAAAAGAAGAACTCATTGCTGCATCCCGAAAAGCAGAAACGCGTCAAAGCTGAGGGCTATACTGAAGCAGATATTGCGCTACGTAATGAGTTGTCTGCTACAGAATTTATGCAAGCAAGCAGTGGCTTGGGCGCCTTGCAGGGTATTGGTTCAATAGTCATAGACGATGAGCGCATTGAAAAGCATCCGAAGACAACTCCAGAAATACTTGAGTGTTGTAAGGATATTAAAGTCCTGGGACGCAAGGATATTAAAGGACTATTGGCATGGTGGAAAGCTCTAAAAGATGACCTATTTAAGCAGCCCGAAAAAGAGACAAGTGTCATAGAAGAGGACGCGCCGAAAAAGGTGCTTACACAAGAAGAAATCGAGGATATGGAGGAAGAAGAGCTGCGACAGCAAATAGCTGAACTTGCCGAGGAAGAGCAACGTGATTTAAAACGCAAGCGAAAGAAGGAGCTCAAGTCAAAGCAAAAACTACATGAGAAGATGAATTTGAATATGGTAATCAAAGGCGATGCTGGACCACAAGAAGAGGCCGAGCTAGAAATATTCGACTTAAAGAGTGTCAAAACACAGCGCGAGCTGGACGAAATGTTGGACGTAGTACCCGATTTTGATGTAGAGGGCGAGCCAGTAGAAGTGCCAAAATTACCGAAATACAAAGTTTATGCCAAGGATGATAAACGTCTGGATGATGACGCGAACTATGAAAACGACGATGAGCCAGATGTGTCGGCTGAAGAGAATTCCGAAAGTGACTACGAGAAAGATAGCTTGGGATTAAGCGATGATGAAGATAAAACCGCAGAACCACAAAAGAAAAAGAAGCGTACGGAGCATCCTCTTATTAAATCAGGAGACTTCAGAGATAAGGACACAAAACGGCAGCAACGGGTGCAACTTTGGTTCGAAAAGGATAATCTGCAACAGATCGATACTGATGATGATGAGGATTATGACTTGGATCGCTTGGCAAGCGAATACAAGAGCAAAGGTGTCGCGGTATTAGGTGAGACGCAGAAAAATAGCGATACAGTAAAGTTAGCGCTGGGTAAGAAATCTAAGCGGCGTGCCAGGCATGACAATTCAAAAGAAGCATCAAGTTCGGAATCGAGTGAGGACAGCGACTCGGATGCTACAGTAGAGGATGATGGTGAGAAAAACGGCAATACAAAAAAAGCTGCTAGCAATATGGCAAAAGGTGTGTTGGTACTGGATAAATAAATTGTATATATGAATTATTTTTTTAACGAAAAATTTTCATTTTACTAGAGCCAAATGCAAAAAAGATACGACTCTCTGAGGAAGAGCTCGCCCTTGGCGCAATGATGATTAAGGGAAAGAAGACTAGGCGCGATCTTATCGACGGTGCTTGGAATCGCTATGCATTCAATGATGAGAATCTACCTCACTGGTTCGTGCAGGATGAAGACCTACATATGAGAAAACCAGTGCCCGTACCAAACGAAATCGCAGAAGAGTATGAACGTAAGGTGCAGGAACTAAATGCGCGTCCCATCAAGAAGGTTATGGAAGCAAAGGCACGCAAGCGCAAGCATGCCCTCAAACGTTTGGCGAAAGCAAAGAAACAAGCTGAGAAAATTATGGATGATGCCGATGCGACAGCGCAAGAGAAAGCCAAGCAGCTAAGAAAGATATACAAAAAGGCGCAAGAAAAGAAGAAAGAAATTACGTATGTTGTAGCGAAGAAGCATCAAGCCGCAAAACGTGCGAGAAGACCAGCGGGTGTAAAGGGACATTATCGTGTTGTCGATCCACGCCAGAAGAAGGATAAACGCGCATTAAGCGCGAAATCTAAACGCGAAAAGAAGCGGAAGGGCAAAAAGTAATAAATAGGAATGCAACTCTTTAAAAACTATCTGGATTTTAATATAGATACTATGTACAGAATTACATAAATAATAGTTGTAGTCAATAACGAAATAAATGCACTCATAATTACATGCATGCATTAATTATTAAGGGTATACTCGGAAGTCTTGCAAAGCCCTTGTACGGTGCACGGATTGCATGGTAAAATCCGGTTTTCCCATGGGACCACTTTTTTTTTAAACCATGCATCGTGCAAGGGCTTTGCAAAACTTCAAGAATACCCCAATTTGTATATGAATATGGAACAACCAGGCTGTTGTTGTTGTAGCAGCATACATATTCCCAAACGAATTTTTGGGGAGTGTTGCTGTAGTGACAGTCCTTGGCCAAATATACCTAGACCTAGATATTCGCGTGCAATTTGTGGTGAGCGATCGCTGTTAGAACAAACGTGTTCTAATTCATAACTCTTTGATGCCTAGCCTATTGTAGCAAAAGTAACATTTGATTACGAGTTTTCATAAATGAAGATAACCATATTTGCGCCTTTATTCCAGTTTAATATTTCATTTACCAAAAAATTCAAAATTTGTGGGTAATATAATCGTATCAACACGATCGTTAATCGTAAACTTCTATATATACATACATACATTCGAAAACATACAGTGGCGAAAATATAATAGGGTATTATATGGCTATTTCCCTTTCAATTATTTATTATTTTTTTAGGTGTAGCTCGTTATCGAACAAAAACCAAGCAAATGGCGTGTAAAACAGATACCCAGAAAAAGTTTTTTATCTATTTAAAATGTTTAAAACTTTGTTGACATTTGTTAAAATTCGTAGATTTTTATAAGTTTGTAATTTTGATTTATATGAATTCTGCAATTAATTTTTGACCAACTTCCCGATGAGCTAATGACTTGAAAATTTAAACTTAGTTTAGAACCCGGTGATAAGCAATTATTTTAAGAAAAGAGCTTAAAGTACAAAAAAAGAGTGTCCAATAATTGGATGAGTGTACTGAAAGGATTAAATGAAAAGAAACAACTCCACAACAAATTTAGACGTTAGAAGGTAATAAAAGCTTGTCTTTAAAAAAATTGTTTTTAAATTAATTGTTTTTTCGATAGGTAGCTATATTGCTAGTTGCTTAAACGTATTTTTCCTATTTACATTCTCGCTACTGTAGACACTTATAATGATCATTCATTAAATATGCTCGATAAAAGTTAAGTCCAAATATCTTTGCTAAAAAATTATAAAATTCAGTCAAATGAGATCGAAATATTTTAAATCCAAAAATTACGAATATTTTTAATGAAAAATGATCGTAAAATAACGATGGAAAAATTATTAGAATCCTCATACAAAAATTCTTTAAATGATCGCACCTTAAAGTAACTTATTTTAATAACTTATGTCAGATATTTGACTATATATGGAAATACATTCGTATTAAAAAGATGAGGCCATTTGGAAAATGATCTACTACCAAACATTACTGCCCAAACGAATATTGAATAGCTTCTATTAATTTCACAAAGGGATCCTCGTGTTTGCGCGTGATAGATTTTCGCCACAAATACTCGACAATCATGTCGGCGAAATTAGCTGGATTGTTGAAATTGTCCCTATAATAAAAGTGTTTTACCACTCTCCACTGTGCGTCGATCCTTTGTATCTGCTTTCCATCTGTCCCTTTAAGAAGTTTGTCTGAATCATTGTATGTCACTTTTTCGAATTTAAAACCAGTATCTGCCAAGCAGTCTGCATCTTCCCAAAAATCTGCACGAATAATTGTACCTTCCTTAACGTGTTTCTTAATAAATGGCAACAACACATTCACAGAACGAACTTTGTCCTGGCATATTTCCAACCTGAGGTCCTCGCTATCATCCGCAATCATGCCGAGTAGCCAATGGCCCTCTATAGCATTACTATCTGAAAAAGAAAGCAGGAAATTTATGCAAAAAACATATTTTTTTTAACTTTCGCTAATACATATACAGTGACGTTGAAAATAATAGCAGAAAAAATCAAAATGATGCTGTTGGCAACTTATCCTTTATTTATTGTTGATAATTTTCAAATAAAAAAATCGAAATTTTGATGAATATTTTTTAAGTTTAATTATTTTTTGTGAACTTTGTGCAAGCTTTAAAACTTAATTATGTGGTGCGTATCTAATATAGCTCGACCCATATTTTAAATGAATATTATTAACAATATAAGTTGCCAACACCGTTTAGAATTTTGCTGCCATTATTTTGAACGCCACTGTAAGTATGTATACATATAAAGGTAAAGGAAGTGTCTATTCATATTCCACGGTAATTTCCGTATCACGCCGATTTTCGAAGTGCCCAAATAACTGTATTTCTACTACTGGATCTCTGGCAAAAATTACGTGGATCCGAGGTTATCTATTTTTTCGTATTTTTAAGAGGCTTAAGAAAACGTTGCAATAAAACAGTTTTTTAATAGATTATTCACAATAAATGCATTCCTTAAAATTATAATACATGCTCAAAAAAAAATATCTAGATAGCAAAAAGGGTCGATTTCTGCAAAAACTCCGGTAGTTTCCGGTCATAAACTTGCAGTAGATCTATGTACATACTTCAGAAATTACCGTCGATCGGCAGTAAATACACTTCAAGTTAAAACCATGATAAAAACATAGTAAGGTAAAACCGTTCTCTCAATTCGTCGGCCATGATTTGTTTTGAAGTTTGCCCGCATTTTAAAATCATATAAAATTAGGTGCGTTCGACATGTCAAAAATTTGTAATAGTTTTTCCAAATTTTTACTGGATGGCGTTCGATAACGACAAAAAATTATCCAACACACACAAATTGAGAGAGCAAGCGTTCATTTTGATGCAAGAGGAGCGTTCATTTTGTACTGGCAAAATTTTACTCAGCATAAATTATCCAACACGAAAACATATGATCACAAAACATATGGTTGCAATTTTTGTAAACAAACAAAATTGCATTTTTCGAGTTTTGGTATTTATATGCTTTCTGGCCGCCTGCTATGTGACTTTATGATAGCGCCAATTAGTTTTTACTTCTAGAAATGTTCCTGGCGAACATTGAACGTTCAAAAAAAACGTGAAAAAAGGACATCCATGGAGGCAACATGAATTTCAGTTTGTTTACAAATAAAACATAAACAAAGTCAGCTGGTGTGTCTTCTTCTTCCGGTTTTTGCAAGTGATGGCTAATTTCCTGTTCGTTTCCTTTTTGGCATTTTCTTCTCTTTGGGAGAGAATTTTCGCTTACTCTCTTCATTTTGATTGTTGGCTGGTGTTGGCTAATTTTGTTATCGAACGCAACTATTGAGAGTAAAAAGAATAAATTAGGAGCGTTCCTTATCTCCCAGAAATAGTCAGAAAAAGTCCGAAGTAGTCAGATTTAGTCCAAAAAGCGTTCCTTAACTCGGAAATGACAGCAAAAATGAGAGAGCAACACTCAGTGAGAGTGACTCTCATCAGTCCGAAGTAGTCAGATTTAGTCAGAAGAATTTTTTCTGGCAAAATCCTGAAAAGTGTCAAACTCAAGTGAATTTGAATTAACGGAAATTAAAGAATACGCAAAACGTGAGAATAATCTAAAAAGTAAAAAAAAGTTAATTGAAATTGGAAGGAGGCAAAAAATAATTGATATAGTAAGTGTTTATTGTCCTTGTGCTTGTGTGTATGTGTTTTGTACATACATTTCTATTGTTATTTGACATTAGTTTGGTTGTTGCCATTCTTTGGACTAAAAATTTGGTTTTTTGCGTTCCTTTACTTTTTCCTGGTATTCTCTTTTAGTGAGCGCATTTTGCTTACGCTCTGGCCTTTTGACACTTTTCAGATTTTAGTCCAAAAAGATAAGGAATGAACCTATTGTTCAAAGTTTTTGTTGTTTGAGATTGAAAATGAGATTGTGTGTGTGAGTTTGTGTGTAAAATTTTAAAATTAAATTGCTTGCAAACGTCAAGAATTTGAAAAATTCCTCTCAGCGGTTCTACCTTCCTATATTTTTATCAAGGTTAAAACTGTTCTAGATGTATGTAGATGTAAGTACTACTTACGCTTGCTAGGCTTGCGTTTGCCAAATTTGATTTCATCAATTTGTACTTTCTTGCCCACACCGCCAATTTTGTCCACAGCATCTTGCTTTTCGATCTGGTAGGAAACAACTACTTCACGGCAAAAGTTGTACCAATCTGTAATTGTTCTAGTGGAAAAGTTCGGCCCTTCTATGAAATTCTCCAATCGCACCATTTCTTGTGGCCAGTGATGAGCATAACAATACATAAGATAAAATATATGTGGTAAAGAAATCTTCGCATTTTCAAACCAGGTCCCTTTAGCTCTTGAAATTCTCTTGCCACGACACGTCCTTTTGTGGCATTCGAAAGCACCCAGAACACTATGCCCGCCCTTCGATAGAGTCATTGGAGACCGATGACCGCTACACAATCTTGACCGCTTGATGAGATGATGGTCTTCAGCGAATTTCACACATTGGTCTGATCTACCTAAATTTTTCATCACTTTCCCTAAATTCCACATACTTTTGATCTCAGCAGCAGTGAGTCGATTCGAACTGCCAGCGGAAGGTTCCTCATTGTCTGTATACAAAAATATTAGCAAATATTTATTTATATAATTTTGAAAATATACTTTAACAATTACCGGAAGCAGTAGTCTTCATTTTAAATGTGTTTTTATAGTTTTAACTGAGAGCTGTTTATGTTAACTTCTTGTAGAAGTAATTTACTCCCGCTTC